TTTGCACCCTGTTATCAATCTGAAATGAAAAATAAATTAATTGATTAAATTAAAATGAATGGTTATAATGGGTTTATGTAATATAAAATTGAGGATGAGGTTAAATGGAATGGGTGTATTTCTACATATATTGTAGAGTTATAGGGAAAAGGGATTCAGCAGAACCACTTGGAAAACTTGCTATGTGAACTCTGTCGTTAGGGGGACATATAGGACCAATCTTTAATTCATACCTAAAAATACAAAGGTCTTGGCTAGCTAATCTAGGATACATTTTATAAATAATGAAATCTAAGCTTAGAGAGTTTAAGTAACATGTCCAGTGTCAACCACATATAAGTAATAGAACTAGAATTGAAACCAAGATCTTCTGATCATTTATCTGTGAAATAAATTGTTTTTGTTTTACTTATATTTATCCATACTTTGGCCTAAATTCTTCATCTTCCAATTTGGAATTCTTTGGCAGATTCCACCAATATAATTTCAGCCTCCTACCAACTTCCTTAGAACCACTGTGAGATCTGCTCTTTGTATATGGGATTGATGTAACTTTCCTTCTCAAAATCTTGAGTTTGTTAGATAAACTCTAAGTGATATTATGCCTCCCTTTGAGTATTTTTTTTAAACTTACCAGGTGCAATGGCTTTAATTGTGTCTCCCAAAGTTCACATATTGAATTCTAGAACCCCAGTACCTCAGAATGTGACTTTCTTTGGAAATAAGGTTTTTGTAGATGTAATTAGTTAAATGAGGTCATTAGAGTGAGCTCTAGCTCAATATGATTGGTTTAAGCATGAAAAAGATGAATTTAGACATAGAGACAGACAGGCATAGAGGGAAAACAATAAGAAGAGACACAGAAGACAGCTGTCTACAAGTCAAGGAGAAGAGGCAACGAACAGATCCTTCTCTCTCACTTCTCCTAAGGAGCCAACACTGCTAACACCTTGATCTTGGACTTCCAGCTCTGGAACTATGAGAAAATGAATTTTAGTTGTTTAGATCACCCAGTTTGTGGTCCTTTGTTACAGTTGTCCTTAAAAACCAATGCACAACTGCTTGCTTGGCAGTTGAAACTTGATTGTGAAATCATAAAGGTCAATATAGGAAGTGCAATCATCTTAGAAATAAATGGGAAAACCCAGTTCTAACAGCTGTTGTAACTCTGTTACAGAACAAGAGTTTTCATGCTTTTTTTTAAGCATATATGTCATGATTTGCATTTACTTTCCACTTTATGCTTGATAGATGTTTACACAATGCCTTTCCTATATGTCAAGTCTAACTTCACAGTTTGACTCTCAAGGTCCTTAACAATCTGGCCTTGGTAGAACTTTCCACATTCATGTCCTGCTGTGATTTTTCAACAATATGGTCTTAGTAGAACTTTCCACATTCATCTCCTTCTATCTCTTTTCATAAACCCTATGATCCAGTCAAACCAGTCCCAGAATAGGCCTGGGTATTTCTGCCTCTGCTCTCTTTTCTCTGTTTAAAATAACCTTCCCATCATTCATCATTACATGTTGAAAAATCCAAAGTTAAAATCTTCCTTCAGGACCTAATGGAAAAACCATCATTTCTAAGGAGATCCTTTTCCTACTCTGAACTTCCATTGTGTATTTTTCTTTCATTGACTTTCATTTTACTTTTTTCAGATATATGTTAACATCTTCTGATTGGCTGTAAGTCCCTTAGGGCAAGAAGCTAATAGTATACTGTGTGACATTTTAGTCCCCACCACCACCACTACCACACACACACACACACACACATACATAAGTGGAGAATGAGACAGTTGTGTACAGGTCATTTGTTTGGAGAAGTAATCTCAGGGCTCAAGAGTGAGGAGAATTAGTAAAACAAGGAGGACCGGAAAGCCAGTCCCTCATAGTAAGTGAGGCTGGCTCAATGGTATTGAGGACTGCTTGAGAATTGGTGTAGACTAGGCCTCATTTTTTTTACCCAAGACTAGAAGAAAAGAATATTTATCTAATGCAGTGGTTCTCAACCTGTGGGTCACAACCCACAGGAACTATGTTAAAGGACTGTGCGGCATTTGGAAGGTTGAGAACCACTGAAATTCTAATGGTTCCTATCACATAGTTTTCCAGGATCACCTCATAAGATATCCCCGGCACTTCCAGGTTTGTGCATGTATCAGAATGGTTGGATAGACAAGGATCCCACCCAGTGCTGTTGGTGAACACATGGAGCATAAAGTGGAAGACAAATGGTACAATCATGACAAGTTACCATTAGGCTACCCCTGCCCCAAGCTGGCTACCAAGAGGATATGTGTTGGGTATGAAAAAACATCTGCTATAGTTGACTCCTCACACTGTCCCAATCTACTCATCCTGTTTCTAATAGTTGCCAGAGAGAGGCATGCTCTGTACAGAAGCACTACGTATCAACTATATTCTTCCTTCTGATCAGCAGAGCCAAGGCTCTGGTCTGTGCATGTTCAGGCAACAAGAATCCCAGCAAGATCTCCAGCCACAGAAAACCAGATGCAGAATTTCCACTGGGATTGAAGTAGAAAGTACTCTTGGTTTGGGTTCCCCCAGAAGCAGACCCTGAGACAAGGATTCAAATGCAAGTAGTTTATTTCAAAGGTAAGTGATCTCAGGAAATACCCAAAGAGGAACGAACAAATGAGAAGAAAAAAAAATAGGAAGGAACCCAATAGAGAATACTGTGTTTGTCACTGCGGACAAGCAAAATCTTATCCGGCTGAGAAATTGCTAGATTTATCTCAAAAACTGGGTGAGAAAGTTGACATATTCATTTACCAATTATCCTTCAGAAGTTGGTTGAGGCCTGCTTCCAAGGACATCTCTTCCAGCACTTCTTTGTATGAGCCTCTGAGCCAGGAAAAAAGCCCCTTTGGACATAGTCTCCAGCATTATCAATGAGCAGCCTCCCACATGTAGAGGTGAATGCAGAGTGGAAATGGGGATGGCACCAATACCTGTAGAAATCTGTTATAGAAACCCAGTTCTAGGAATAAAAGGTATGGAGTTTTCTAATATTGACCCTGATACCCAGGAATATACATCACTAAAGAGAAACAAATGCTTCTCTTGATCTCATAATAAATTCAATGAATTCAGTTACAGCAAAGAAACAGGTGAATCCTGCATGTGTCAGAATTTATATCATTTCATTCATTTTTATTAACATGTATAAATGGTGAACTGGGACCTTAAAAAAAGCACACATTTTCATCTACATCATAAATTCAAAAATGTATTTACATTTGTGTGGATGCAAAATAAAATCATTGTTGGAACTTCCAAAGCAACAACCTTGACAAGAGAACTTTTTCTTTCTTTCTTTCTTTTTTTTTTTTTTTTTGGGCACATTTTTGAGTGGAAGGAGGAATATTTTTAGCTATGCATGTAATCTATTTCTTTTGCTTACTCTGTCAACTTAATATTAACGGCTGCTCTTAGGTTAGCCCAAAAAAGTCCACGCTTGCTTTTCTCCTTGGGCCATTCCAAATAAGTCCTCCGTACCATGAGAGTTTTGAGCCTATGATAGCTGTTAGGAATGGAGTATTGTGGAATGGGTTCCAGCAAGATCAGGATTAAGTTATTAGCTCCTTTGTGGAAAACATTGTGGTGGGCGAAGTAGAGTTCATAATGGCACCACTCACTCTGGACAAAGTGGGGAGACAAAACAAAGATGGACTTGTAACTCTTCTCAATGCAGTTGATGATATTTTCCACAATGCTCTTGCCAGGAACAAAGTTTCTCTCATGGAGGCAAATCCGTATATCTTCTCTTTCTAGGCAAGGTACCAATTCATTCTTCACCCAGGCAGCATCATGTTCGCTATATGAAATAAAGGCATGGAACTCGAGAGCTCTTTGGAGTTCCTCTAACGGTACGTTCCTAGCCCTGTATCGGGTCCGGGTCCACTGGAACACCATCCTGAGATACCAGGGCAGATCCAAATAGATGCAGAGGAAGGTCACGGTAACAGCCACCACCAGCATGATGGCCCCAATGGTGACAATCAGCAGAGTTGTGTTGCAGGATAATTCAGATATGTGAAAGTCTTTTAGAGGTGTTCCCTTATAGCTTTCAGGATAGTCACACTTATAAGAATCAGGCCAGTCCTCTACTACTTCACTTGATACTTGGCCTGTATTTTTGACAAATTCTCTTAGTTCACACGTACATTGGAATGGATTGTTCCCCGCTTTTATTGACCTGATCTTCTGGCAGCTCTGGAAGAATTCATCTGATGGCTGGGAAACGGAATTGTGGTCAATGACCAGTACAGAAAGGCTGCTAAAGGTGTCACATCCAGGGAGGTCAGTTAAAGAATTAAAAGCAACATTGAGTTCGAGCAAACTTTCTAGACGAGTGACATCTTTAGGGATGCTCTCTATTCTGTTACTGTGAAGATCAAGTACCTCGAGCCTGGGAGGTAAACATCTGAATATGGAGTCAGAAAGTATATTTGAAGACATGTTTAAACTTAATAACGTTTTAGTCCAAAAGCAATTTTCTCCATGTTCATCATACCTTAGAAAATTCTGGCTAATATCCAATTGCTGTAGAGACTTCATTTCTTTGGTCATACGAACTATTTTTGTAAGTTCTTTTAATTGATTCTTTTGTAAATTAAGTATCTTCAACTCAGTCAAGTTTCTACAATTTTCAAATACCATGTCTGTTAAGAGATTATTGGAAAAATCCAAATATAGGAATGGGCTAACTTGGGATGGGCAAAGGATATGAACCATGCGTGTCCCAGACACTGTGAAACTTTGGATGTTCATATCTGAAAAGATTTTGTAGATAGCACTTTGTGGAAAATTGAACACATCACTGACAACTTGGTGTATAGATAAGGCCTTCAGGGAAGTACCAGAATAATTAAAATCTCTGAAGTCTAGTTTCCCCTGCAGTTTCATATCTGACATTGAGAAATACTCTATGGTTGTATGCCAAACCAGCTGGAGGATTCTAATGAAAGAATTCCAAGTTGTTTCAATGTTGTTTAAAGTAAGATTTGATAACCTCGGATTCATTTGAAGTTTTGCCAGAACATTTAAGAAATCAGAACATGCACTATCATCTACCAGACATTTGATATTAGATAGTTCTAAATTTATCACAGTCCTGAATGACACATCCAAAATAAAATGGAATTCCTTTTTCATGGGAAAAACAATGTGAAGACTCTTTGTGTTAAAGTCTTGAAGGCTCTTAAGGTCTTCTTTTTCCTCAAAAGTCTCTCCCAACACCAACAAAACCTTACTGATATTCAAATGAGCAATCGGCAGCACCCTGGATTTTTCTAGTCGTGTAGCGCTCAACCCCAGAAATTTTAGTTGAGACATGTTGCCAAACTCTTTGCATATGGGCAGGGCATCAAATGCGTTAAATGACAAGTCTAAATATTTGAGGTTCACAGTAGGATGACAAGAAATCTTCCCCAACTTGTTGTGGGAGAAATCCAAGTACTCCAAATCCCGGTTGAATTTGAAAACACTGATCTCAAGATGCTGGATTCTATTATGAGAGACTATCAACACCCTCAGCTTTGACAGTGATGAGATCTCGGAAGTCTGAATCTCAGATATAAAATTGTGTGATATATTTAAGATGGTTGTTTTTAGGGATAGATCTTTGGGAACATGGGTGAGACCTGTTTTGGACATGTCAACTAAAAATTCACTTTCATCAGATAATTGGATTCTAATCTCAAGTATTAACATGAAGGGGATGACAAAACAGAAGATGCTTGTCATAGTGTAACACTACGCATTCCTCAAGGTAGAAGTGATTCTTCAGAGCATCTTGATAAAGACCTAGATTCTAAAAAAAAAAAAAAAAAAAAATTTACATTGGATGATTATAGTAAATAAAACATGACTGATATTAAACATTTTTTATTAGATGCTCATAAAATGAAGGCTACATCCTTATGGGGTACACAGCCTGAAACCAGGGCAATATACATATAGATAAATGATTACACCAGCTCTAATCAAGTGAGTTTTAACATGGATGATGATGTAAAAGGTTGAAGGATGGTTCCTGCCAAAAGATGTCCACATCTTAACCATTACCTAATCCCTAGAAAATGAATGTAACCTTATTTGGGAAAAGGGTTTTTACAGAGATGAGGATAAGGATCTTATGATGAGGGAATCATGCTAAATTATCCAGTGGCCCCTAAATTCAACAAGGGTCCTCAAAAAGGTAGAGAATATTTGACAAAGACAAAAGGGGGAACAACAGAGACACAAAGAGAGGCCGTGTGGAGATGGAGGCAGAGACTGGACTGTTGCTTGAGTTTGTACTTGTGGTCTCCAGGGAACACATTCCTGTTGTTTTAAGCCCCCAGGTTTATGGTTATTTGTTACAGCAGCCATAGGAAGCCAAAACAGATGGTTCATGGAAAATCCTCTGGCCTCCAACCCTCCCAAGACCATTCAGAGCTCTGGCGAGGTGGACTTCCCCGTGTCTTCCCATGATTTCTCTTGAGAGTTCTCCCATGTAGTTTAATTGGGACTGTTCTTGCATTAACCTCTTATTACCTACTACACATGGTTTGGGCCTAACTTGGTCTTATTCAAAAAGTAATTAGGTCATGATAAAAGGCCTCTCAGAAGATTCATTCTTTCATTCTTTTCAACCAATATTTATTGATCATCTCTTGGCCATGTTTTAGGAACTGGGAAAAAGCAGTGAATAAGATAAAGTTCTAACTGTTGAGGAGTTCATTATCTAGTGGGAAGACAGAAAACAAATAAAGAACCACATTTAAAATGATGTAGTGGTAAGAGTTATATAGAAAAATAAGACAGTAAATTGTGGGCATGGGATGATGCTCAGTGGGGCTGTTTTTGAGTGATTGGTTAAAGAAGGTCTTTTAGCAGGCAGTGCCTATGGCTCAGTGGGTAGGGCGCTGGCCCCATATACTGAGGGTGGCAGGTTCGAACCTAGCCCCAGCCAGCTAAAACAGCAGTGGCAACTGCAACAATAACAACAAATAGCCAGGCATTGTGGCAGGTGCCTGTAGTCCCACCTAGTTGGGAGGCTGAGGCATGAGAATCACTTAAGCCCAAGCATTGGAGGTTGCTGTAAGTTGTGATGCCATAGCACTCTACCGAGGGCAACAGAGTGAGCGTGTATCTCAAAAAAAAGAAAGAAAGAAAGAAAAGAAAAGAAAAAAAAGAAGCTTTTTAGAGAAGATGATGCTGAGGTAGAAATGAAGTGGATGAGGAACCTCTGGGAAGATCTGGAGGGAGAGAATTTCTGGTAAAGGAAAAGGCAGGTACAAGGGCCTGAGTTGGAATGAGGCTGGCTTGTTTGAGGAGGAGAGAAGCAGTCTGTTAGCACGGAGTGAGCAAAGATGAGCACAGTTAGACCCAAGATCACACAGGGGACCTGGCACGGTGGCTCATGCCTATAATCCTAGCACTCTTGAGAGGGTGAGGCAGGTGAATTGTCTGAGCTCACGAGTTTGAGACTAGCCTGAGCTAGAGCAAGACCCCATCTCTGAAAATAGCCAGGCATTGTGGCGGGCAATGCCTGGGAGGCTGAGGCAAGAGAATCACTTGAACCCGAGAGTTTGAGGTTCCTGTGAGCTATGATGCCACAGCACTCTACCCAGGGTGACAGAGTGAGACTCTGTCTCCAAAAAAAAAGATCACACAGGGCTTTTAAGATCACTGCAAGGAGTACAGATTCTATTCCAAGAATGATTGGGGTGGGGGTGAAGACTGGAAGGTTTTGAGGATGTGAAAATTTTTATTCTCTTATTCAGAAAACTTTTTTTTCCTTTATTCACCAAATATGTGTGTATTCCCTGTGCAGTGCTAGGCATCATCCTAGGCCATGCCTCTTGCACCAGCTGTCTCACCACTCTAGCTCAGATACGATTTTGTGGTCCCCATTCCAGTGGCACATGAGACCAGAGAGAGTTGTGTTGAGATGAATCCTAGAGAAGGTACACCCCTCGCCCCAGAGACTCTTTCAGCTGGGGCTGCACAGCTATTCAGCACTTTTAAGTAATTTATTCTAAGTCCCCTATTGTTAGACAAGCACGCCATAGCATTAGCAAAGCACCAAACTCTTCTTCACACGTCCCCTCCCATATCTCAACAGGCACAGAAGGACATAAATAATTCACCTCTCAGAAACAACCCTGAATTGTGAAAGTTCCCTAAGTTAAACATGCAAACTTATTTGGTATTCAGAGCTTTTCTTGGACTTACTCTTTTGCAGAGAAGTCCAACGATGCCTTCGTCATCCTGGTTTCTTCTAATACAGAAGAGAGCTTGGGAGCCCCATTAGCATTCACAAAGACTCTGAACAAGAGAGATGACACCATGTTAAAAGTCAGGGTGGCCTTTTTATGGCATTTATTGTATTTGGCTGAAAGACCTAGAAATTTCCCAATTCCTCCTCTCCAGCTTCCTAAATGAGCTGCTCACATAAGGAGCAATACTTTGATGGATGTTACAAAGTATAACTTGACTGTTTGCCTCCCCCCACCATTCATATGATGTAATCCTAACCCCCAGTGAGGTTAGGGGAGGGGATTAAATGGTCATGAAGGTAGAACCCAGATGAGTGGAGTCGAAGCCCCTGTGAAAGGGCCCCGAGAGGTCTCTCTGGCTTTCTGTCCACCAGGTGAGAATACGAGAAGACAGCACCAACCTGCAACCCAGAAGAGGGCTCTCACTGGAACCCAACCATACTAGTACCCTAATCTTAGACCTCAGGCTCAGAACTATGAGAAATAAATTTCTGTTGTTTTTAAGCCATTCAGGCTATGGTACTTCATTATGGCAGCCCAAACTGTTTAAGACCATGGCAATAAAAGTAACTATAAATACTTCTGGGGCCAGTGCCTAATGTCTCAAAACAGAACTAGTTAGGTCAAAGTAAAACTGTTTGGGCTTAAGTCCCAAAATGGGATTCACTTATTCCTATGCTTGTACTCAAATCAAGGGCTCCTTCCACCTGCTGGTCAACGCCAGTGTTCAAGGAAGCAGCGATCAGCATTGTCGATGAGATATGCAGAGAGGGGCTAGAGAGACAAGGGGAAGACACAGACATGAGTGCTTAGCTCACAGAGAGCCCACCACCAGCAAGAGGGACTTAACAATGGCAACCACCACAAAACATTTAAATTTACAAAACTGCTTGCCCTCAAGCACTGACTGGAAACATGGCTTCAGTTTTATATCTAGCTAAGTTCATTGACTCAAGCATCTTCTGTTCACCTAACTTCCATTTGGCCCTTTCATTTAAAGTCATTAATTTCAAGTATTCAGCTTACAAAATCACTTAATTTCTGTAGTTAAGAAATCAAAGTTTCGTACACAGGAAGAACTGATGTTTAGGAACTCACGGCATTGTTAAAAGTCATGTACCAAACTTGCCAAATCAATGAAAATCAATGTCTCAGTTCCCCAAACCAAAGTGTTTTTTTAATCAAAATCTTAATGACATCACATCACTGAACCTCATCTATAGGTTCTATTAGAGATTCTATTACGATCTCAAAACTTTTTACAACCAAGTAAAATGATTATTTGCTAAGTTGAGCAGAAAAAGAATGCTTTAATTTGAAAACACAAAATACACTAGGTGCATTTATGTCAATTCTCTTCATTATGATAAGTTCAGCTTCATATTATATGATACAATGAATCAATATACGTGAATTGCCTTTGTCTAGAGACTTTGGGAATATCAAATCAGGGCTTTGATGGGTTTTAATGGATAATAGCCATATAATAAATCTGATGTACTTTTCAGTCCTGCAAATATTTAGTAAGAGTCTTCTCTGCACCCAACCAACTAGCTATTAACCACAAGCTGAAAGGAACAGAAGCAGGTCAGGAGCTTTTCTGCTTTGTTTCCTTGTGTTTATGTGACATTTGCTTTTTGTGTTTTATAAAGACACATTCACTTTCAAGTCTTTTGGCCACACTAGGTGTGGTCTGGGAAACATTTTCATCACTTGCAATTTCACCTGACTTCTAGCTCCCAGAACATAGTGGGCTGAGAACACAGAAAAGAGTAACGAATGGGAATAGCCCAGATAAAAAAATGAAAGTAAACCAGCTCATAAAAACACAGGAGTTGTTGGGCAGTGCCTGTGGCTCAAAAGGGTAGGGCTCCGGCCCCATATGCCGGAGGTTGCAGGTTCAAACCCAGCCCAGTGTCCACTGCCCCTGGGAGTAACTGACTTATATCTCACTTTCCTTAAAGTTGTCACTGAGAGAGCAGAGCTGGGGAACAGGGTGAAGAGAAATGCCATCAGAAAGCAACAACTAGAGCTAGCAGCTGTGCTGGAAGAAAACCAGAAGATGTTTGTGACCCAGATATGCATCTCCCAACTCAGAAATACCTCTTGAAAGCAAATCATCCATAAGGTGTTCATCCAGAAAAAAACAAAAAAAAAAACAAAAAACTTTCTCTGGTCCAGGATTAGGAGCTGATAAACAAATGCCAGTTCACACCACACAACTAGGCCAGCATAGAACCTGCTTAGAAAGCACCCAGGACTTAGTCCTGGAGACTTCCGAGATTTCTGTACCCCATAACTAGCTATGCAATTATTCTTTTTTACAAAATAAAATGTTACTCACCAGGACAACCTGCTTGCTGTTCCGTTTGGCAATCTGTAGGAAATTCAAGCACTTCCTTGAACAAGTATTTCATTGCCGGCCTTGGGTAAATGTGGAAAACAAAACAAAACAAGGTCTTGTACGCCATCTACTGAATTCCACTGGCATTACATTACATAGTAAGTACAAACTTGTTTTCTCCTATTAATGTATAGAATAGGGAGGGGCTCTGGGTTGCTTGACAGGCTTGTAATAAGAACGTCTCTCTGAGTCTGTGTTTCACTGCAGCCAGTTCACCCCTATCTACACTGATGAAGCGAAGGAGGGGCTGTTAATAATCCACGGATCATAATTGGCCAAATGCAACATGCTCATTGTGGTGGATTGGGGGGCAGAGGCAGGAATGTGGGTCTGGGTGTGTTTCTGTGTATTGCCTTTCCTCTTCCCTTTAGATCAGTTCACTGTTAAAAGTACCTGAGACTGGCTCGGCACCTATAGCTCAACCGGCTAAGGCGCCAGCCACGTACACCTAAGGTGGCGGGTTCGAATCCCCAGCCCGGACCCGCCAAACAACAATGATGGCTGCAACCAAAAAACAGCCAGGTGTTGTGGCGGGCGCCTGTGGTCCCAGCTACTTGGGAGGCGGAGGCAGGAGACTCGCTTGAGCCCAGGAGTTGGAGGTTGCTGTGAGCTGTAATGCCACGGCACTCTGCCCAGGGGGACAGCTTGAGGCTCTGTCTCAAAAAAAAAAAAAAAAAAAAAAAGTACCTGAGACTGGAAAGAGGAAGGGGTAAAGATCAAAGTTTTGCTAAGCACCTTCTCAAAGAAGGAGGATAATTCATGTGCTAGTTATGGAGCAGATACCAATTGTGACTTACATAAAAAATTTGATGCTGACATTTTTTCTGATATTTTCAAACTTTCTTCAAAACATGACTTTAAAAAAAAAAAAACTCGGCATGAGAAACACACGAAGAACCTTTTTTCTCAGAGGTCCAAGTCCCTTCCTTTGGGTTAGTTTTCGTCAGCATGTTCAAGGAAGCCATTCTGATATCTCCACTCTTGTCTTTTAAGACAACAATACCAACAAAAATAACAAAACAACAAATAGGCAAATAAAGCTAAGGTGCTGCAGGAAGACGAGGCCCAACGGAGAGAAAGAGCACCCAAACACAACATTTATAAGAGGAAGGGCTTTATTCATCAGCCAGGAGCTTACAGCATAGAAGATTTCCAAATGGCCACAGTCCCCAACTGGCTTGGTCTTTCTCCTTTTATTGACAGTCAAAAAGTTCCACCCCACAGGTACTGTTCCCATTGGCCAATTTGAAGCAAGCAGGAGATGCTAGTCCAGCCTCTACAGAACTACAGGATTTCACAGAACTTAGAAATTTCCAGGTTCCAGGAAGTTAAGTCTACAAATTCCCAAGAACTGAGTCACCATGGAGAGGGCCCTGCTGGTGCATCCTTGTGGTCTCCCTGAGAAGACCTTTTCTCCCAGACCTCGCCCTTCTCAGGTATCCTCTCTCAAAGGAATGCCACCTGTCTGCCTCTGAACCCATCCTCAGCGTAGCGGGGTGTCCAGTCACAAACCAGATGTGAGGGTGACAAACTCTTTCTCTTCTCTCCTTCCACAACTCTTTCCTGTAATCAGCTTTTCCACCACACAGCCAACAAGATCAACTTCCCTAAACTAAAAACGCTGGGATTCTTTTTGACTTGTAATATTATCTCTATCTCCCTGTGTTCCCCTCCTCCCCCACCTCAAAATTTGTTTAAAATTCTGAGGTTTGTCTATAAATACATTTCTGAAACTGAAAGGTTTAAACTCCTCCCATCCATCCACCATTTCCTCCCTGAGATTCATAACTGGACCTGAAGATGGTCTTTTCACTAAGAAATTAGTTCTTGGGTCTTTCACTAAGAAATTAGATTGACTTTGTGAATCTGGGTCTGGAGCAGTGATTTTCAACCAGTGTTGCCCCAACACACTGGTGTGCTGGGAGAGGATCTTAGGTGTGCCTTGAAATTTTTTAAAGATCATGAATTAAGTTATTTTCAAAAGAAGTTCAAAGCACAATAAGTACATTCTTTTGTTTTAACTCTTTCTTTTGATTAACAAAATCAAGTGTGCCCCGGAGGTTTAACTATAGGTTCAAGTGTTCCCTGAAATTAAAAAAAAAGGTTGAAAAACACTGATCTAGAGAGTAATGCCCAAAGGCTGGGCATGGGGAGCAGAAGTGAAACATTTAAGCACTCTAAAATCCTGTGTTTCCCTGCAAACTCATCACCACCCCTCCGAATTACCTGCCTGCCCCTTTTTCTCCTTATTATCCAGTAGGTCACTGTTGCACAAACACACACTTGTAATCATGTACACCTATGCACTGATACAGCCACATCTCCCCAGAAAACTTTAATTCTCAGAGAACATGGCTCCTTATAAAAATATTTAACATCTCATTTAACCTAATATATCCAAAATACTATTTCACACACAATCCACATAAAATATTTTTAATGAGATAGTTTACCTTTTTTTTATTTAAAGTCTCCAATTTTTGGTGTATGTTCTCCACTTAACAGAACATCTCAATTGGGCTACACATAAGTTGGTTCTACTCATTATAGGATAGGGTGGAAATTTTTGTATGACTCGGATCCGAAACAGAGGACAAGGAAGTATTATATAACCCTAAATTCTACAGATAGCTGCTAAAAGGGCACACTAAGAAACAGATGAACCAGATGGTACCATCTCCATCATCACCACCCCACCCAACATTTCCATCCCCCTGAGAATGCTGGGAGGGCAGTGAGTCAGCAGCTCAGGAAGATGTGAGCCTGCAGGCTCTCTCTACAGAAGAGATGACGTCTCCTTCTCAAGCCAAGTGAAGGGGCAGTGCTTGTAGAATCACTCAGGCCACTGCAGGGAGAGGCTAAATATATGTCTCTTTCCTTGGGAGGAAATTGGTTTTGATCCAGAAATGTGGAGGATCTCCTGCCCCTCTGAGCAGATTTGGAGAACATTACACATTCCTCCTGGAGTTCAGGAATGTAAGTTAACAGAGGGACAGGTGTCTACTCTCCTAGAGATTTCTGTTAGAGTAATCTTGCCAATGGGCAATTAAAGACTGTGGTGTCACATAAATGGGGAAGGGGGTGCGTCTTCCTCTCAGCTTCCCTTGGGCTACAACACTCAGAGAAGAAGGCTTCATTAGCACTGTGAATGATGCAGTGCAAGAGAGAGTAGAGGACAGAGGAGAAGGCAAGAGCTATGGGCAACCCAAGGCCCTTGAATGACTTTGTGGGGTAAAGACAGCTCCGTATCCTAGGCCTCCTGTCTATACTTGACCTATTCTTTGAGAAAGAAATAAACTTCCATCTTATTTAAGCCCCTGTATTCAAGGTTTCCCTGTTCCACAGCATAGCCTGTACCTTAATCCACTCAGTTCTAGAAAAGGTTTTTGGCCTTCCTACCTCTCATACCTGGTCTCCACATGGGAAAAGATGGATCTCAGAGGGGAAGGGGTAGGGAGTGTGTAGCTCTGGTAAACTGTGCCCACCTACCCCCATGTGTATACCACAGTTGAGCTATAAGCCCAGTCCATGATACGGTGAAAGAAGATGAGCTTCAGGTGTGGTTGGGAGTTTTAAAATCTCAAACTAGATTCTAGTATTAATACCTCAAAAGGACTGAAAAGGTATGAAATCTGCTTGAGATTCCAATCAAGGGGTGAGAAGGGAAGAATTTCAGAACTCGGTGGAATAACTGGAGAAAAATTAAAACTAGTTCATATTTAAACTTGTTAAAGAAAAATTAAAACTAGTTCATATTTAAACTTGTTAAAGGCTATGTTGAGATTTCTCATCAACTGACTGTAATTAATCTCCCTGGAAGTCCCTGTGGTTCTAGAAATCCTCTCAGCTCTTTCACTGCTGGTGGTTTCTTTGATTCCTTTCTAATCAAATACACCTCTAGAAATCTATCCAGAAATATTTCATCCTTTCCCAGAACTTTTTTTTTGTCATTGTTCTCCTCCTCCTTAGAATTTACTTACTCCCCCATTTATATCTCAGTCCTTCAGCCAGAAGAATTCTGTGAAGACAGAGGCACAGATGCAGTAACACATCTACCAATCAAGTAACACAAGGATTGCCAGCCACCCCCAGAAGCCAAGAGCAAGGTGTGGAATGACTACTCCCTCAGATCCTTCAGAAGGAGCCAGCCCTGCTAATACCTTGATTTTATTTTTGTTTGTTTTTTGAGACAGAGTCTTACTTTGTCACCTGGGTAGGCCAGAGTACAGTGGCATCACCATAGCTCACAGCAACTTCAAACTCTAGGTTCAAGCAATCCATCTGCCTCAGCCTCCCGAGTAGCTGGCTTTACAGGTGTGCACCACCACTCTCAGCTAGTTTTTTTTATTTTTTGCAGAGACTCCGTCTCATCCCTGCTCAGGTTGGTGCACAGGTGACAAATGCAAAGCAGGGGCTTTAGGGGGGTGCTAGGAATGAATTCGGTCAGTTTCTTTACTCTTCCTCCACCTTCTCTGTCTTCTCTACATTCTGGATATTCCCCAGCAAGGGAAGCAGGGGTAACACAAAGAAGAGCAAATCTCCCTGCATTAACTGTAAGATAAAGCAGCCAGGATACCAGACCCCTGCCTCCTACTGTGACAGAGTTCAAGGCTGGCTCTTTCATAGGAAGCACATCTGTGGGTTATTGGAAGGACTTGAGTGGACCCCACATTGCAATTTTTTGATGTAAAGGCACATCACCTGGCTGATCTCTTGCAGCAATATCCCCTCCTCTCCCCCTGCAATACCCCTCTTCTACCCAAGCCCACGGCCTCTTACTGCCATCGTCCCTTTGTACAACAGGCTGCCTGGTTGACTGACATCCCATCATGACAACCCAAGCCTAGCTACTCTTTCCATGGTCAAGGCCATGTGAAAAAACTCACCTACTGTTGCCATGCCAGCAATGGTAGGACAAATTGCAGTCACTGCTTCCCTTCTAACATCCTACTGCTTGGGGCTGCCCAGCCCAACCCCTCACCTTCTGAAGTCTTCATCTGGGAAGTATTCAGTCAATGAA